AGACCTGCCGTTACGCGTGCATTAAGGGTTTTCAAACTACCTCCTGTATATTTTCCGCACACGAAATATCGTGCATTCCTTTAAGCCACTAAGAGAAGGCCTTATGAATTCAACAAAATTTGGCAGTGTACTTGAGCCACGTTGTATACTTTACAAGCAACATTGGCAAATACAAAGACACGACGTTTTAGGAACGGACATTTCGCAATTTTAAAAAATCTCACAATTAGAATCCTTCTAAAAATCTATTTATACCCTTCTTTCAAGTTCACTATTTAAAGAAAACGTAATTTTCTTCCGAAAGAGTAAGCGAATGTATATTGGTATGCGTGTTTTCTGTGAAATAAAATTGAATTTAAGTGGACGTCGAAAATCAATATGAATGTAGTTTTTACAGGTAGCCGGAAAGGAATTTGTCCAAAAGCCGGCATCCTTAAGTATTTAAATTATCAGGAAGCTATTCTGCAGCGTGATTAGTATTACAACTTCACGTTAGTAATTTTTTCGAACCGAAAACGCATTGTAGAATTTCGTTTAACATTTCGCGAGTTAGACCATCTATTGTATTAGCAAGCAATTGAATAAAATAACGCTAAATTGTACCTTAGCAGTCTAACTTTTGGTGACCGAAACTTGTCGCGGGCAACAAGACAAAATTTAAAAGTCGACCGTCGCTTTGTTCCTTCATTAAAATGTAAAGACTGAGCAAAACTAGGTGCTGATCATCATGGAGGATCATTCTTAAACGGACACCGGTGTGTGCGACCCCTCTTCAAGATATCGAAAGTACAGTACCATGAGACGGAAGACTCGGTAATTGAACCAGACGTATAGTTTATGACGAATGAGGTCACATGTAACCTGTTTGCACGAAACGGTCATCGCGGGTTGATCAAGGAGTCAAAATCTAAAAAAATGTGAGCATAACGGGCATTGACGCATTTTGACCATGTGTCCTTGGGAGTTGGCGGTCTTTTCCGATTTCTGGATACTAACTTCGTACGCAAACCTGAACAATCAGTGCGACCACAGGGCATGAAACAGCAGGAAGGTTTACTATGGAAGAAAATGGCGCACAGTTCTCCTCGGATCAGACGTTATTCCGGTCTAGAAAAGTAAGTGCACGAAACGGGATGGCAATTTAAAAAACTCATGAAGCCGCCTATCGCGGTCTGAAAAGGACGAATCCTTTACCAATCGTGGCAAAAAACTTTCTCGCCTTCTAATGTGGTCAAAAAACGACCAAAGAACCAGAAAAGAGTGCAGTTCTGAAAATAAAGCCCAACATCTAGCAGTATTTGTACAGCCCTTTCTGTTACGACACCATTTTCTACAGAAAGATGTCAACCATAGGGGACAGGGAGATCCAAGAAGCGGGGAGCAACTGCAGTTTTGAAGAGGCCGGTTTATGAAATTTCGGAGATCGACAGCCCTCTTCTCCGCACGACCCCAGATCGTTGCGTAGAACAGATTCGTTATGTACGGGGATAACCTCCGGCCAGCCATCAACATTTACAGGCACGCACATCGTTAAGTAGTTTGCAGTTCGGGATCATTTTTCTCTCCGAGGATTGAGGCTAATTTAGTTTCGAGACAGCGAGAGTCCTGACCCCACTTTTCTACAAGATGGTGAACATCCGCATAGCTTGTAACCTATTGCCATCCAACGCTCTGCACTATATAGCTGTAAACGCCGATGTCTTGATCCATGATCATGTGGGAATGTGACGTCTGTATCTGGTATGCATAAAGTCTGCATCACAAAATCAATCAAACTTCACATTGAACCCATATCGATGACCTTACGTTTGATTGTCATTTGTCCTAACTGTAGAAATCGGCTGTCTCTGTTGGATCCGAAACCACGAAAGCATAATCAAGGTTCGAGCCCCGCCAACGCTCTAACCAACTGAGATAACAAACTCCACTGAGTGAAATGAGTCATTCAAACTTGCCGAAACACCTGCTGTGTAAGTGAGACTGGTAGTCATTTGGAGGATCCTAAGTTAATTGTTTAGAAAATACTGCTTAAGCTGTCAACTTACAGTATCATAATTGATAAGAGGGAGAAGGAGCGATCGCTGGAACAAGGGCTTTATTCGAGTGAGGTTTCGAAATCTCAGTTGAACCTATCGTCACAGACAGTGACAGAAACGGGTGATTCCTGCACAGGAGGTTGCAGTATTTATAGGATTCAGCCGCTATACTACCGCATACCTACATCAATTAACTGCTCTTCCCTTCATCAAGAATTGTTGCCCGCTGGTGCGTTAATGGCTTGACGGCCGGAATGCAAGTTGTTAATTGCTGAAATCTCATGACCCGTGTTGGATGCTGGCGTGATGATTGCTCGGCCATCTGGCTCACCGCCTTGCGCGCTTTCTGAGTGGTTAATTACTTTGGCCAGACTACGCCCTAGCACGCAGGCACTCGGGGTTGGAGTTGCACACAGACTGGAGGCCACCATAAGGTGTCAGCTGATGAGAACAAAAGACCCACTGCCACGGCTAGAAATCTCTGAAGTCGTTTACCGGATCTTGTGCCGTTGCGGGCAAAACAATTACGTAAGAGAAACTGGAAGACTGTTCCGGACGCGTATTGCCAAACACGCGGCAGCGGTGCGGAGAAATGACGCCAATTCTCCGATTGCGGACCATGCGACGAGACCCGATCACACATTCGAATTCGATGAGGGCGAAATTCTGGCGAGAGGGGGTAATCGCGTGAGCCGCAAGTTACTTGCGTCATGGTTCACGGGTTCTCGTTCTGTCAACAAGAGCAACGACATTCCCACTTCATATTCCGTGCTGAGGCATTGTCTGGCCAAAGTAATTAATCACATGCGGGCGCACAAGCCGGTGAGCCAGACGGCCAGGCAATCATCTCGCCAACATCCAAAACGGATGATGAGATTTCAGCAATTAACAACTTGCATGCCGGTCATCAAGTAATTAACGCATCAGCGGGCAACACGTCTTGGTGAAGTAGTTATTATTTACTTTTCAGTAGAATTAACGCCGCATGTTTTTAGTGTCAGAGATAATAGACTAACCGTAGCTGTAGTTCGCAGGAATTCGCTTTTTCTCTTTGTGAGAATCTGTGATTTCAAGAATAATTGTCTAGGAACATTGCATGCTGTAGAAGAGTTAACCGAAACATTAAACTGGTCTCGCAATCCTAGGGAATAAGTTGGCAGCATGCGACAATGCTCTCCAAGGGATCTTTCCGATTGCAAAAAGTCGTTTGCGCAGATTTTTGCATATATTTCCTCGGAGGATCTGCATGTGTGATTTAAAGGCCTGATCAATTTGTCCAAATTCCTTTCACAAAGTCACATAGTTCGATATAAACGCACACATTTTCAGAGGCTGACTGCGTTTTGTTAACAGATAAAGTTTCATAAAACTTTCCATCTATTTTGATTGTTGTCTTTATAACCGTCTTTCTTAGGAAGTCTGCGGATACCTAGCAACGACTAAATTGAATCTTTGAGTCCACATATTTGATTGGTAGACATCTTCACGGGACATTTTGCTAAGCACTTATGCCGATATATTGTAGTATATTTTGTATATTTGAAGACTTTTTTTAGCACATCAAAGCTCCGTACAACTTTTCCTTCGCCTGCAAACCACACACTTTTAAATAAAAAGCTCTTGTATTAAACTATTCGTCAAAGAACATTTAGCAATCCATAAAGGCATTTTCTGGTAGATCTAAAAGACCTTGTTTGAGCTTCAGGAAATAATCATTTAACTTCGGGTGTCTGCTTTGAGGCCAAAATCGTTTAAGCAAACATACATTTTCACTAATATACAAACTGACATAAGGCAAGAATAATCTGTTCAGTGAAGCAAAACAGGAGTTTATGCTTATCATCCCTGCAAACTAACTCACGATAGGAAACTCGGCAGTTTCTACATCCGTCCGAATTACTGCTGTTTTACATGCAGACGCACAACCAGCGAATCAATGATCAGTTGTAGTTGTAACTGCTTTTCGTTAATTTTTATTTGTCTTACACATTCTTCCTCTGCTGTCGAATGTAGTAGGTCATATATAATTGACCTGTCATAGAGTTGTTACTTGGTTAGACGGTTTTCAATAAAATAAGTTATTTTTTCGCTCATGCGTGTTGATTTTTGACCAAACTGTACCTTCTTTTGAAGAACGGTCATTTGTTTAACACAGCATAACTTTCGGGGATGCCAGGTGGTCGATCCATGCAATACAAAAATTTTCCTGTTGTTTTTTTCTGATATTTCACGAACTATGCGCCAGAATGCATTTATTAGACATGGGCCTGTATAGGAAATGGTTTAATTTAACTGGTCTTCACGAGTCTCCACGCCTAAATACTTGAAGACATTCATGCAAACATTAAGCGAAGCCCTGGCGAGGTCTTCAAGTCAAATAACTAAATTAAAATCGACTTAATAGGCTGCACTGGAAAACATTCATTTTTGGTCACAATCATTTAAAACATGCGATTCTTTTGCGACATACCTAATAATCTTTGATCTCCGTCAAATGGCTGCCTAACTGTAACCTCGATTACGGGCTTGCTGTTTGTTCAAAACAAAGCCCATCCACTTAGAATTGTGTCTTAGGCTACACGTTCTACGAAAAAAAAATTGAAAATTTTCATGGCGTATGCCAAAGAACTGCTTCGAGGGAAAATAACTTTTCAGAGGTTAGAATCTCTCCTTGCCGAAAGAGTTGCCAAATTCATTGGTCGAAAATCCACCAATAGGAGGCCTTTCGGCCCCTCGTCCGTTCCTCACATCGTATTTATACAATACTTGCAGCGAGGGAAACTCAGCTGCCTCACAAACTAACCAAAGATGTGTAATAAACCAGTCAAAGTCCTTGCTGATCTCACCGGTGTTTTCCGTAGCTTTATAAGCCCTCTGCTATTTGTGTTCGGCGTGGTTGGAAATCTGGTGGCGTTCATATTATTTTTCAAGAATAAACCCCACACGCGATACAATCTCTATCCCATGATATTGTCCATTATTCAGTCCATCGCCCTTCTGCTGAATACATTCCTGGATGACTTTTTTGGTCGGGGACTCCTATTTCTCTCTGGTGGGCGCTATTCCATCAAAGTAGACGCCGTGTCAGATGCAGCGTGCAAGTTTTTCGAATTCATCGAAATGTGGATCGGATTTGTCTCCTCGCACATTCTGCTCGCTTTCGGTGTTGACAGAGTCCTCTCAATTATGATGCCTTTGCGGTTCCAAAAGACGCGTTACATTCATGCGACGCTTTGGGCGCAGGCCGCGATCTTGGCGCTGGGCGCATGTGTCAGTGCTCCCCTAGCCGCGCAGTATTCGCTTATAATGGAAAGTACGTGTGCAAAAACTCTTCGTTGTTTTTTTTAAAATAATATTATGCTTAGTTTGCTGAAGAAGACACTGTTTGCCAAAGTGTAAGCGAATCTTTGTAGGGCTTAGTAACAGACAGCGAAATTTTGGAAAACGACTGAACGGAATCATTAACTAGACGGGGTTTGTGCAAATAGTTCACTTGGGCTTCCGTTAGCGGTGGTAGTGCTTGACAACTTTATGTAAATTACATATTTCCGTTATCATTACACACTGGTTTTGGCTGCAATCCCTTACATTTACATTTTCGTTCAGTATCATTAGGAAAGCGTTCAAAAAATAGCAACCATTTTTGAAACTCTATCTGAGGCAATTAGATGGCGTGAAATAATATAAAAGCACTAGTTACTCGTTTTTTTGAGCACACACACATCTTGGTATTTATTATATGGGATAAGTTACCACTTCTGCTTTAAAAAACTTTGTCATTTTGAGAGCTTTACTGTTTAAATGCTTCATGATTTTGTATGTGAAGACCGCAAATTCCCCCTGATAGACCACTTTTAATAGAGTCAATGATTGTCCACTACCCTACTTAGGAGATATGTGGTCATATTTGCGGGAAATATCACTGGAAGTCGCTTTTTATGCGTTATGAACATAATACGCTTGTTATCAGACAGTTGTGTTAATATCCCAAGGCATGTAAGCTTCTAATATGCCAATATCAGCAAACCATAACCTCGATGCCTGGCCTGTGCTGGCAGCTCTATGGCACCTGGTTCCCTGCCGGTAGAAGTATTTGCGTTCCCATTGGGTATGCAGGTTGTGAACATGGCTGCGCATGATCCGTTGTCGTGCTGCTGTTGATTAAAATCCTAGTCAGGTGTTTTTTGACGAAGGGATGTGGTGGTGCGCCTAACTGCGGGTCCGGCCGTGCTAACCATCTGCGCTCCCCCTCCCCCCGGTCTTCTTGGCTGCGTCTTGACACTGGCTTCAGGTTGGAAAGGAGGGAAGTGCGCTGTAGATGCTGAGCAAGTGTACCCTCACTGTACACTAATTCAAGCGCAGATCAGCGTGTTTGCTTCATCTTACTTTGGAGCACATCATGCACGTCGTCAGGCACGAGGGTCGAACTGCCTTCTTGATCTTAACCCTCCAAAATGGCACTCGAATTCTGTTCTCAACTACAAAGTCAAAGTTTTCCTTTTGTTGTTTTTACGAAGGGATACTTTAGTTAGGGACTGGGTATGGATTTGTTAAGTTATCACCAAAGTATTGGTCTTCGAAAAGTACTTTGTTTGGTAAAAGTCCACATATGGAAACTTCTGAACCTGTACCACAGATTAATGACAGGACTGTGCAAACGCGTTTATGCAAAAAAGACATAAATTCTATCTACTTTGTGGAAGGAGCAAAAGTGGATTTCCCTGTGGGTAAAATGATGGCGAGAATTAGTTAGTCATACAAGATTGCTGTGTCACAAAAAGGCATCTGCATTAACAGTCATTTGTATGAAATAAGAGATCTGGTTTACGTCACGATTTGAAGGAGAGTTGCAACGCTATAACGCCGGAAAATTCCTTCAGGCCAGTGGCAGGAATGTTTTTTCCGAAATTAAACATAATTTAGTATCCATGGTCTTGGCTGCTGGAAGGTCTATTAGATGACAACGAAATAAGAAATGTCGACAGGCAAGTAAGCATTATTATGCGTCAAATGTGCCAATTTTCAGCCAAGTGAGTGGAATTGGATAATTTTTCACTTCGTCCTAGGAAAAGACCATTCCGTCCAATTATTGCAGCGTCATTTGGAGAGTTCACAATAGGACGGACAATGTATTTTAGTTTGAATGAGGCAGAAACTCGCAAATACAATGAATGGGCTAAATCATGAAATGCCAGCCGAAATTTCGAGATGAGTTCCCGTTTCGAAAAGGTTAAATACGTAGGGTTGTCAAATTAATCAGCATAATTCTATAATAATCCAGTTACCTCAGGATGTCAGTTTTTGAATGAACTTCTTTCCGACTGCATGCAAGAAAAATACTCTGCAAAAATGACTACTTAATTAACACAAAATTTTCTCATTGATTTTCGATGCCCTCAAAAATTCAATTATATTCCAAAGAGAACATGCGTAAAAATATTCATTCTATTGCTTTTTCGATGATAAATGGCGTCTTTTTCCAATTTTATTTTCAAAGGAAGGATATACTTCGGCTTTAAAAAAGTTTTTTATTGTGTGATTTTTAAATACCGTAAAATGGCCATTCACAAAAGGTCGTGTCTATGCATTTACTAATATGGCTTGTAAAGTCAACATTATACCCCATATCCACTGTTGAATTTTACGAACCCCACATGATCTCCTCTTAATACCGTAGAGAAATGTGTGGTTTTCCGTACGCAGAAAATACAGGGCTTGTAGTTTGCAAACCCTGAGTGCAAGTTCAACGGCGGGTCGGGTTCAAAATTATTCTGGAATTGGAAAGGTTGTCGAAAACTGAATCTTACTCTTCTTTCGAATATAAAGTTAAAAGAAGACGGAATGTTTTACAGAAAGAGTAGAAGAATGAATATATTTATGCATTTTTTCCATAAATTATAATCGAATTTTGAAAGATATCAAAAATCAATGAGAAATTGCATGCTACTTAAGCATTCAGTTTTTTTTGCGGAGCACAGGTCTTGCATGATATCGGAAAAAAGTTCATTCGAAAGCCGCACCCTGTAGTAATTGGATTATTATAGAATTATGCTGCAAACTAGTTAGTTTGACAACTGTACTTAAATAATCTTTTCACAGCGCGAGCGAATTTCAAAATCCCAGCTGACATGTCATGATTAAACCCACCTACTGTATCTGCACTGACGTTTGTTTGTCCATGTGCCCTCCGTGCAGGAAGTATGGACATAAGTTTTCATAAAACATTTAATGAAGCCAATTAGTTCAAAAGGTCTGAAAGCGTGTGCTATGCCAATATGAGCAAATCATGGCTGTCGCAGCCCGGTATGCGCTGGCAGTTCCTTGACACCTCGTCCCCTGCGCGTAGATGTGCGTGCGCTCCCGCTGGGGGGTGGGCATGGCTGCCCAGTCGTCATCATTGTCCCTCTGACCCCCGTCGTGGTGTTTTTGCTGTTGCTGCTGCTGCTGTTGTTGTTATTTGTCAAAAACCTGGTCATTTGCTGTGTGGACCAGGGGGTGTGAATTGGAACGCCAAGGTGTGTGCACGACTGTGCCATCCACCTGCGCCCTTCTATCCACCTCCGGTCTTCTTGACTCTGTTTTGACACCGAGACCAGGTGGAGAGTGGGAAAGAGAGAGTGTGATAGATGTCATCGACTGCGGCCGTATTGCTTCTTTGAAACCTGACTGGTTCATGCCTACAAGAAGTTGCTCAGCTCTCCTAGATGTGATTTTGTAGCCCCTCCTGAAGTAAACAAACTCCAGCCACCTGTAATACGGAGCCGGTGGTAATAGGGGTTTTTATAGGTGGTGCTGGAGAACGCACAGGCGACGAGGTCAAGTAGTTGGAGACAAAAGAAAAACTGTTGGGAATGCGCGGTTATACTTTGAGTGGTTCAGAAAAAGTCGCCCTAACCCCCAATCGAAACCCTAACCCTAACTCAACAGTATTGTGTCCACCAGGTGGGACTAAATAACCTCACCCTACCACCTTTCCATGTAAAGTAGAATATTCATGATTCTAGCTAACCTGAAGGGGATACGACAAGTACACGCATGCACAATAATGTAAATGATCTACAGACAGGCAGAGGTTGTTCACTTTCCTCTGCATTTACACCCGAATTAGATGGTCGAGGAAGGAGAGTGTGGTAGACGTAGCGCAAGACTACAATGTTTTTAAACTAATTCACGCAAAAGTCACCGTGCCTGTTGCATCTTGCCGTGGAGCACACGGTGGACAGCGTCGAAATCCACGGTCAAATTGTTAACTGAGCAACTCTAACCAGATAATGACAGCCGGAGACTAAGACGAAGGGAGGACATTTGAGAATAGGGAGAGAAGAGTGAGTCAGTGGCATCGCAAAAGCGTTGGGCAAAGTCCTTTGGTTATGGGAGTATCTCGTCCTCTTCCGGGCGCAATCAAATGATGCACAGCAGAGTCCGAGTTGCGAACTGAATGGCTCTCTAGATAAAGGCACCAGAACAATTTGTCCACTTGACATTTATGATGCCCGAGGCAGCAGCCATAAACCGTTCCAGGAACGATTATCCAGGCAAATGCATTCGTAAGAATACGGCTAGGCAGACCGACTGGAAGTACCACATAAAAGATGATTCTCTTCAGTAGACAACCATTTTAGTATTACTCACTATGTGAAATAATATGAGAAGTTAAGTGAATTTAGCCATCTCGTATTTCCACCCCCCAGTATACGGACATCATAAACAACCCTGCCCAATTATATGCGCAGTCAAACGCTGCATATCTGCTTTGGCCGAATTAGTCGACGCTTTTGCAAACCGGCGGCAAAGTTATACCGTCGCAGCACTTGAAACAAGAGGCATCTCAACTTTTATCCTCTTGTCCTCTGTGAAAAAGCAGGCGGCCCGTCGACTCCCAAAAGCGAGTCGGAAGGCGCCCAGAAAAAACCGCTAACTTGCAAATATGGAGGCAAAGACTATCAAGTCAATGAAACGCGTCCTATCTACAAAGCAAAGAATCTTATGCAGAGCCTGCAATTTCCGCGGCAAAAGGCGGTTTGATGCAGAGCATCAAGCCATCTATTTTTGCTGCGCCTTCAACCGGTCTCTCTATCAGTTCATTAATCATCGTTTCAGGTCCGCCTTTGTTATAGATCATGTCCGGCTAGAAATGAATTGTCGAAAGTGCGTGCAGGTCTACCAAGCTGACTTCCGAAATCGCCAGCATACAAATTTGCATATTCGTAATTGCAAGGGAGGTTTGCATACGCAAACCATATGCATCTACGCTTCCCGAGAAATCGTCGAGTATTTTGACTATTGAGCGAATGCAATAGTTTAAGGGAGATGTTACGTGACAAATTATCACATGTACGTTTACTGCAACGGCGGTGTTTAAAATTTAACTACAACCCTACTGACCGTCCCTTCGTAAGGTTCAAATGCAGTTTAGCAACAAAACAACGGTAAATGTCAGTTGGTGTTCTTGTGTTGCTAATTACCAGAATATAAAACCTTGTGACAGACATCAGTATTTTTCCATTTCACCATTGGTTGACAAAATATACATTTCTGGCACATAGCCAACCGGACATTTATAGCTATACCTTTTGAAATATCTGAGTTTTTTCTGATTGGGCAGGGTAGTTGCAGTAATAAAAGCTTCCTCGTTATGTTCCATACGATACCACTATCCTGCACAATGTACCCCTAACATGCAACCTATTCAGTTATATGGTGAGGTCTAAGCAAGTCCACTAAAAGGCACTTCGTATTCAGTAGTTCTTCAAACAGCGTTTTCAAAATGGAGATATAGACAACAAGAAGAAAAGGTGGCTGGAAATTGAAGTTCAATAAATATGCTCGATATTTGTTGGTTTTGTGATTACTTTGGCGAGCCTTTGTAAAAATATATTTCTATTTCTCCATCGCCCTCATCGACAGCAAGAAATCCATTATTCCCTGGAGACTGCAGCGTAGGCAGTGTTTCCGCATATAAATGACACAGCGACTTGATATGATGTATGTGTAGTTTTTCCAAAAATCCTCTTTTAAGGAACCTGCCGATAAGAATGCTTTCGCCCCCAAATGTCACAGGCACTGAATAACCAGCGAACTCTTCCCCTTCGTCTGCAGCACGCACACTTCTGTCAGCACTTCTTCAGCCTACTGGGCTTGAAGAAATACTGGCTGAATTTGGAAGGTCTTCAGGAGCCAGCTTCTAGAGGCAAAAACCAACCAGCTTCTTAGACTTTAAGATCTCAGGCCATAGAAGTGACATTAGACCATGGAATACGACCTGTAGAATGCGAGTGCAACTGACGCAGCGCTTATTGCTCCACCCCTCTTTCCCAGCCTGCCTCTTTAGCTGTTCGACCGCAGTCGAGTTTTCATAACTTGATAGGTTTTAACATGAATCTCATTGCACCACTACAACTTTCCCGGAAGCTTTCGTCAAGATGATTGCGAAAGACACTTTTCTGAAGTGGACTTCACCTGATTGGGCGGAATGTTCACGGTAACAGGAAATTATCCGTTGTGGTTCATGGGATGTCGCCATACTGCACAAATTTCTTAAAGAAGTTAAATAACGTATTTGGCTATATCAGGAAATTTCGAACGAAATCAACAAAAGACTCCTGAATAACTGAAATTCTTGTGGAAAAGCTTTACTGTTTTGAAATATTAATTTCTTAGGATGGGTTCATTAACTTCAGGATGAAATAAGAAAGCGTTTTTGGCATATTTACAGTTTGGTTACGTGCATCCAAAAAGCTGGATTTTAAATTCTAAGTTGCAGCATTTTGGAGGGATACCATTTAGGCATCCTTTAAAGGCGCTGGCGCTCATAGTGATTTTTAATCTTTTCCGAAAATAATGGTTTTGCCCTACAAACAGGTGTGTTAACTCATGAAATGTCAACTGAAATTCCGAAACGCGTTTTTCTTTCGAAAAGATTAATTTAGTAGGGTTGTAACACTAATCATCATGCATTCTATTTAAATAATAATTCAGTTACTACAGGGTGCGGGCTTTTGAGCGAATCTTTTTTCGGCTGCATGCGAAAACTTTACTTTGTAAAATGTGACCGCTTATGTGACATGCATTTTCCTTGTTGATGTTCGAAGACCGTAAAATCAAGTTATATGTCATGAAAAAGATACATAAAAATATTAATTTTCTGCAAGCTTAGTAGAAACTTACGCTTTTTTGCGATTTTATACTCGAAAGAAAGGCATGATTTGGTTTTAAAAACGTTTCCACTTCTCGAATAATTTTGAATCCGACCTGTCGTTACACTTGCATTCAGGGTTTTCCAAATTACAAGCCGTTTATTCTCCTCGTACGTGAAACCATGCATTTTTCCACGTTATTGAGCGTAGATTATATAGGTTCATAAAATTTGGCAGTTGATTTGGTCAATATCGTTAACTTTACAATCTATTTTGGTAGGTACAAGGCACTACGTTTTATGAAAGGCCATTTCACGGTATTAAACAATCTCACAATTGGAAAATTTTTAAATCCGAATTACACCTTCCTTTCGAGTATAAAATCACAAAAAGACGAATTTTTGCCGAATGAGCAAAAGCATGAATGTTTCTGCATGTTTTCTATGCAATATCACTGGATTTTTAAGGTCATCGGAAATAAATGAGAAAAATGCTTGTTATATAACAAGTAAATCTTTATTGAGTATAGTTTCTGCATGTAACCGGAAAGAAGTTCGCTAAAAAGCCAGCACTCCGAGGTACTTGAATTATTACGAAATTTTGCTGTAAAGTGATTAGCTTACAGCCCCAGCTAATTGACCTTTTCAAAACCAAAATTGCATTTCGGGATTTCAGTTGACATTTCATGGATGAGCCCACCTACCGTATGAACAATTTACTTGGAAATGCCTTCTTTGGTTTTAGTATATTCTTGTCAAGGCCATGCAAATGATGCCCTGCTTACAGTTAAGAGTGTTAAATACTAAATATGCTCGGCCAACGGAGGCTCCTCTATAATTGGGAGTAGATCTCACATGTACGCCTGTCGACAGCAATTCGTTCACCCTGCCGAGCTTGAGAAAACATAAACTGACTTCGGTGACTTTCCAGGCGTAGAAGTCCTTAGGACTACATGTCACTGAAAGTACGATTAGTATGATGACTGTGCGCCTTCTTAAATACAGCAAGTGACTTATATCATGGAATGTAAGCCGAAATTCTAAGTTGTGTTCTGTACTAGGAGGAACTACTTAGGTGGGATTGTGATACTAATTATCACGCAACATGAGCGAGTGATATTTTGGACGTGCCAGGACTTTGGCTATTGAATGCACTTCTTTTCGGCTTCCACGCAATCAGAAAGAAGTGACTACTCGAATAATATGCAACTTTTACATCGATTTTCGATGTTCCTCTAAATTCGGTGGCCTACATCGTGGGACCTCCGAAATAACACAAGATTATATCGCGTGATAATTCGTATTACAATTCGCCCAAGTAGTCGAAAACATATTTTTGAATGTCGGCTAACATTCCATGCGATAGGCCACTCAAATCGGGAGTAATAGTTTTAGTTAATTTATTACCCGAGAGAAGTGTTCAATTTAGACAGTAAGTAGCCTGCAAATATATTTTAATTCCATTGCAGAATTAGCTGTGAAGCCTGTTGCCTCAGTCTTTCGGTCTCCATTCTCGTCCTGTTAGATAAAATATAAGTTAAAACCCAGTTACTATGCAATGATCCGTCTGCCGGAGCAGCGCGATTACTCGTCTGCCAACAACTTAGTATCCTTCCCGTGAGTAACTCCAACATCATGCTGTATGGGCTTGAATCATGTCAGGCGATTACGATGTCTGTGTAAAAGGAGAAAACGACGTCGGTTTACTTGGGATGCTTCGTTCAGCTTCCAAACAATAAAGCATGGAAGATTACCAAATGATGGAATAATGCGATCTATCTTAGGAACAAGCGTCGGACTAAATTGACTCCTTAAAGTGCAAATTGCAAACTCACATAAATGTGTAACTTCTTCTTTTCAATAAATCACATTTTTGTTGATTTAAACAAGGGCGAGGAGGGGGCAGAGAGACTTAGACAAGACAAATTTGAGGAATTTTTGGCCAGATTTCCGGCCGTATTGATGATGCCGCCTTGTTGGACCCCGTAACCCCTGCCTCAATTAATTTAGAGTGGAAAGATTCGAGGCGCTCAAGGTTTGCTCTTTGGCGCTGGTCGTCTCCGCTCCTCCCCCCCCCTTCAATCTGCGTTCAATTCCCCGAGTACCAATGGTGTACAAATCTGCGTAAACAAAATAGCTTCTCGTTACCACCGCGAGTATCGTCCCAAACAGCGGTCGCATAAGTGGGTATGCGCTACGTCTAATTTGCGATCAACTGTTTACTTACAACTGCCAGGGAAATGCGCTCGCCCTAACCACCACAATTATCAGAAGTCCGGATTGGTAGTAATTCAAGGGATGCTTCATAATGAGGAATTCTTTCTGCAGCTATGCAGCTCCCCCAGACGGCGGTGGCCGTTGGCTGAGTAGAAGCGTGTGCCGATAATGTTAAACACTATCTTGTGGAAGGATTGTGAACGAGTGAGTCTAAGATATTTGGTTGTTTTTATGAGTTTCTGGCAGTCAGTTCAAGGGTCATGTGCCTAAGTAATGCACTGCACTACAAGAGGCCAGGAAAAGATTGTGGTGGCCTGAACATGCGTGTGGGCGCGCCAGTTTTGCAATCAGTCAGACTGTAAGGTCAGTGAGTCTGGCAATGCTAGGAGGCAAAGTGAGCGAGGTTAACTGGAAAATTATATGGACGGGGATTCTCCTGCCGCCGCGAAGTCATGTCTAATGTTTAACACTCATCACCCCCCCCCCAAATTTGTCCATTCGAGTTAAACCTGGGGATAGGCATGCTGTCATTGTTTTTTTCCTAGCTGACGTTTCGTGTGGAAATATTTCGTGAATTTGAAGACCCTCAAAGCAAAGGCTACAATGGTCCACGAACCACAGCAAACACCCTAGTTACGCCATGATTTATGCCTGCCCAGGGCAAAACCGCTGTACGTATGGCGGCTGAACTTCCTCTTGTGTAGAAGAGACCGCGGATCGTCTGCTAAGGTGGAACGCCTGTGCACGACGCATACCTCTGAAACCCAACTATTCCTTTGGGGCAGGCAGAATCATGCGCCGAAAGCGATGTCCCTACTGGGTACATGTGCTAACACATCAGGTGTGGTGAGGCATGAAGTTGCCAGCGTAACAACCAGACGACCGACTGGCAAACGCCCGCTTAAGGAGTTACAATGTATCACGTTTTGTGCATCAGTCCGAAGGGAGCTTTCGACTGAATTTTAGGATGTGTCGCTCAGTCGGCGGGTAGAAATGTCTGCCTGCAGAATCCGCCGCGGCAATTTCCAGTCATTCTTTGGCGATACTACGGAATGTAACGTGATACTCAATAAAAGTCGACTTGATTTGTAGTTTTTAAATCATTCGTTGAAATTTGCAATTAATTACACCATTAGATCCCTTGAAAATCACTACTAATGGAGGTTCAAGTTAGCACGAATTTGGAAAATATTTTAGCTGACTTAAGTCAAGTAATGCAGTGTCTGGGAGTTTTGGAAAACATCTATTATTTCAACCGACGCAAATTGCGTACATCACGCATATTTTAGCTATTGGAACACATTGCAGTGTTGCCACGGATCAATGAAAACATGAAACCCCTTTAGGTTGTATAAGACGTCAATCAAAAATACTCATTATTTTAAATAAAATAAGCAGACGACATACTTGCTTACCCTTTCAAATATTATTTTGACAAAAAGTGCCTTAAGAAGTTACAAGATCTCGTGCCACGAAGGCTGATCTGTCTGGTAAATGTTTCGATAGTTACTCGCACTGTGGACTCGCGTATTTTGTTTGCTTTGCCCAAAGCGGTATCATGATCTCATAAAGTAACGACAAATAATTCATTTGAGGACCATTTTTCGAAAATCCTGTCATTTAATTTATGTCGTGCGAGTAGACGGTTTGTTTTTCATCGCGTTTTTAGACAATTTTACCAAATCCTGCCCTTCACGAAGGGCATCTGCTTCTCGTTACCACCGCGAGCATCGTCCCAAACAGCGGTCGCATAAGTGGGTATGCGCTACGTCTAATTTGCGATCAACTGTTTTCTTACAACTGCCAGGGAAATGCGCTCGCCATAAGCACGACAATTATCAGAAGTCCGGATTGGTAGTAATTGAAGGGATGCTTCACAATGAGGAATTCTTTCTGCAGTTATGCAGCTGCCCCAGACAGTGGTGGCCGTTGACTGAGTAGAAGCGTGTGCCCACAATGTTGAACTCTATCTTGTGGAAGGATTGTGAGCGAGTGAGTCTATGACAGTTGGTGGTTTTTATGAGTTTCTGGCAGTCAGTTCAAGGGTTATGCGCCTAAGTAATGCACTGCACTACAAGAGGACAGGGAAAGATTGTGGTGGCCTGAACATGCGTGTGTGCGCGCCAGTTTTGCAATCAGTCAGACTGTAAGGTCAGTGAGTCTGGCAATGCTAGGAGGCAAAGTGAGCGAGGATAACAGGAAAATTATATGGACGGGGATTCTCTTGCCGCCGCGAAGTCACTTCTAGTGTTCAACACTCATCAGCCCCAACCCCTCCCCAAATTTCCCCACTCGAGTTAAATCGTGGGACAGGCATGCTGTCATTGGTTTTTCCTAGCTGACTTTTCGTGCGTGAATATTTTGTGTATTTGCAGACCTTCGACAGAAAGGCTACAATAGTCCACAAAATACAGCAAATACCCTCGTTACGCAGTGATTTATTCCTGCCCAGAGCAAAACCGCTGTACGTATGGCGGCCGCGGATCGTCTGCTAAGGTGGAACGCATGTGCACGACGCATACCTCCGAAACCCAACTATTCCTTTGGGGCAGGCAGAATCATGCGCCGAAAGCGATGTCCCTACTGGGTACATGTGCTAACTCATCAGGTGTGGTGAGGCATGAAGTAACCAGCGTAACAACCAGACGACCGACTGGCAGACGCCCGCTTAAGGAGTTACAATGTATCGTGTTTTGCGCATCAGTCCGAAGGGAGCTTTCGACTGAATTTTAGGATGTGTCGCTCAGTCGGCGGGTAGAAATGTCTGCCTGCAGAATCCGCCGCAGCAATTTCCAGTCATCCTTGGGCGATACTACGGAATGTAACGTGATAATCAATAAAAGTCGACTGGATTTATAGCTTTTAAATCATTTGTTGAAATTCGCAGTTAATTTCATCATTAGATCCCTTGAAAATCACTACTAATGGAGGTTCTAGTTAGCCCGAATTGGGAAGAAGGTTTAAGTGATTTAAATCAATTAATGCAGTGTCTGAGATTATGGAAAAACATCTATTATTTTAACCGACGCAAATTGCATTCATCACGAATATTTCAGTTATTAGAACACATTGCAGTGTTGCCACGGATCAATGAACATGAAACCTTTTAGGCTACATATGATGCTAATGAAAAAGCTTCATTATTTTAAATAAAATAAGCAGACGACATACTCGCTTACCCTTTCAAATATTATTTTGACGAACACTGCCTTACGAAGATACAAGATCTCGTGCCGCGAAGGCTGATCTCTCTAGTAAATGTTTCGATAGTTACTTGCACTGTGGACTCGCGTATTTTGTTTGCTTTGCCCAAAGCGGCATCATGATCTCATAAAGTAACGACAAATAATTCATTTGGGGACCATTTTTCGAAAATTTTGTCATTTAACTTATGTCAGGCGAGTAGACAGTTGATTTTTCATCGCGTTTTTAGACAATTTTACCAAATCCTGCCCTTCACGAAGGGCATCTGCGGCAGGCAGACTGTTATGTCCAATGTTCCGCCAGGGACCGAATTTTTCCATCCCGCTAGGGAACACTTGTGATATCCTCCACATGCCCAAGGCTGCAGATCAAACCTGAATATGCTATAAATAAACAACAGTTTGCTGAGTTCTTCTGGCCGCATGCGGAGAATGAGGAACGTAAATCCCAAATAACGCAGCGGAATTAGAATAAATGCTCGCCATTGCACATTCATTTGACCACCGACCGCTGAAAGGACAAATTCGTTTTTTCTTTGGGAAGGACTTTAAGACCCAGTGAATAACCTACCTGCGTGCGCAGCATAGCGTTCGCCGGGTTCCCCGTCAGTACCGGCACTGGTCGCTAGTTAGTTATTTGTGTCCGGATGATACCTTCATTGCCGTTTTCATACAGGTCGATTTTCAAATCTTCTCGTCTCTAGCGTTGCGACTATGGTTTCGGATAATCGAAACCTGCTACCCGCTCCCACTTAGATTTGTCAATTTGTAATTCCAGTTTCATAGATCCATGTGTAGGGGACAACGTACGGCGGCTGCCTCAACAGCGTCAGAGGAAAAGTCCTCTTTGATTATCACGACGGTAGATGACGTAGGCGGCACCTAAATTACACTTACTGAAATTTTGATAACATGCATTATGATTTGCAAGTTTAGATTCTTGTTTTACGTCCGTAGTCGATTTTCGCAAATCCTTGTCTTTCTATGTCGGCACATTCCTTTGAGTTAATCATATTCTTCAAATGTTAGAAGGAGCGTGCGCGCCTCAGGTAGTCAAACAAGTCAAACAGAGAGCCCCAATGCGTCCGATTTCCCTCCAAGCACCATTCTACACGTTGAATGAAAACATTTGTTGGCCTAATAGCGGTTTTTCACAGTCGCTACAATCTGTACATCCGCGGAAGACGGATTGTTTCAGATCGAGAACACTTTAGAAGTTAAAGCACTTTTCACTTATTATCCCCCATGCATTGCTTCACCAACTCAGTCGTCAAGTAAATAGTGATTAGATCTAATGTCCACCCTACCATTATCGGACTTAACTACTAATCAATACTTTTTTGAAAGCCTTTGGTCAATGTACTATTAGGTAATTTAACTTAAGACAACCGCATTTTTAACTGAAACAACAGGCTTGGGCCTTCTAACCGCAACGCCTCGATACTGACGTTATAATTTTCCAACTCAAATCTATGAATGTCAGCCGCATTGTTGGGTTAGGTCGTGTGCAAATGCCTGCTCTAAAGCAATTCAGTTACTTTAACAGTCGTTTGGATGGCCATTTGAGTGTAAAGAGCAAGAGTCTTGAAGATCTTTTTGCCACATCGTAATTTTACGATTTTAACTGAACTCACCCCCGGTGTAAAAGCCCAAAATGGAAAACGCAAACGTGACCACTGGCTGCAACTGAATTGCCTTATTCTCACAAGTTCCTAAATCCTGAATAAAGACATATAAAAAAATAGAAAAATGATCACAAATTCTTTTATATTAGGGCAGACAAAATATACGTTCTTGCCACGCAAGAAAACAAAAATTATGAAACCGACATAGTACAGACGAGCAAATTTTCAAAAGTTAAAGTAGGTGCTTTGTCACAAATAAGACACAAGTTGTCCCATTATGATAAGTGAAAAGTCCATCGTCGAGTTATGCCTACTTAATAAAAAGAAGGCACTAGGAATTATTAGCTAATATTAAGCCCATGGGCTTCAAATCCAGAAAATACACCTGGACTAGACTATAATATCAACTAACCAAGATTGTAGGTTGTGATAATGGAGACTGCTGTTAAATACTTTTTTTAAAACGTTTGTTGTAAGGCGTTTTTGTGTGTAAAGTATTGGGGTGGACATAATTTTAGTAGTATTTCCATTGTCTCAAGTAATAGTTTTTCATGCACTGACGTTGGCCTACGAAAAAATATTACAAGTAACTTGAGAAAGGATATATGAATCTAAATTATTCAGGAACTGGAAAACTGTCCCAAAACTATTATTATCTTCGTCACTTTCCAAATAAATGCATGGAAGGTGTTTATCGGCTAATTCAAAGTTCAAATTTCGGTCTCCGCCTGCAGATCCTAGTATAAGCTGATCTACCACAAGCTCGGAATTAACTTCTAAGGAAACTAAAAGGAATAATTTTTTTAAACTAAATTTTCTGCCAGATAGCACACGAAAAATGCTGAGGGACCCAACGAAGACCAAACTCCTCTCAGCTATGCCACAGAGCGGCAGAATATCGAGGAGACACACGTGTCTGGGCTTTTAGCTATTACATGTATCGCTAGCATGTCATCTTCAAACGCCAAAATTTTAAAATCTCGCAAAACCTGCAATCTTGCAGTCGCTTCATGTACTGTGACCAAAAACAAATACTTGACTATAATTAATGATACATTTAGATATCCTCACACAACCTTCACCTTATGCTTGGCCGTTTGCAGTAAGACCCAGAAGCGTGGTTTGAAGAAGGAACGTCACCTATCGAATTTGTGTGTTTAAAATGCGGAACATATGAAACTTTGACTTTTTGAATCAGGGTTCTAGATGCTGACATATTTTCTGTAACTTGCTTGAGTAACCGAATATTTCTTGATCTACCATACCCTCAGCATGAAGTCTAACCATCTGCAAATGTGCGTCGCACGGAGTTTAATTCGGCTGCTTTGTCGGGGTAATTACCGCAGACGGTTAGATTAATTAACCGTTATTGTCCACTTCCCGAGCAGTCTTTAATTAGTCTGCAGTCCATGATCACAGACGGTCAAAGTTTTGTAGCTGCTTAGTAGTTTAGTAATGGAGAATTTGTAATTCAAAACTTTTCATTTTAGGTGCTGGTTAGTGAATACGTTTTAAAATAATGAGCAATTTTAGACTAGTTTCCTTGAACAGTCCATAAGAAGCAGGACAATTCAAATTGTCGTAGTTGCCTTAATAATAAACTAGTGTTTTTCAGTAGATTCATATGGAGCCTTATGAGGTTGACTGGTATCCATGGATTATTGGCGAAGATAGCTTATTTGCTGCCCTTATTTGACTTGTTATCCCTAAGTCATCTTGTACACCTTAACGGTGGTTTTGGGTCTATACTCCACCATAATAAGCAACAACAGCTTCGAGAAATTTCAGTATCCTTGCATTTGTACGATACTGCACCTAGGAGTCTAATTTAATATCTTTGGTAAGTAAACAACAAACTATAGTCGTGGGTTTTTTATTTCCAAATCGCATTTACAGGCTCTATGATATCGTGATATCAAACTCTGCTCACATTGCTAATTTTATCTGAATAAAAGGTTTCATTTTTTCGAAAAGACATCGGAGGCTAAAAGAAGTAGGTCAAAAGAGAGATTTGATGTGTTACAAACTAAAGCAGAATAAAACCTAACGGGGATTCTGAGGCACTTTTTATATTTGTACCGGCTGTTGCTTTTCCATTCACCGAATAGCAAACCAAAAACGAATTAATTACTTGCGATTTACAATTATTTGACTGGGGCTATGACTGTTGGCTATGGTCGTCTAGATCTTGGTCCCATGGCTTATAGATCGTCTAGTTTTGCGGGACTTATATCTGAGCATGACATTCTCTATAAACATTGAGATGTGCAGATCTATCTTTGTTCATGGTCTTTTTAGTTAGGATGATAGCAGATTTTTTCACTTTATATGGCTTTGTTTAGCATTTTTTATTTTTTTGCCCATTGTTTTCAATGTGCCATTGCAAAAAAAAAGAATTTTTTCTAAAGCGCTTTGAATACATTAAAATGGATCTAAAGTAAAGGGTTTTATTACAATCGTGTTTTTAAAACTCCCTTCATACGTTCATAATGTCCTCGAAGGCTTAGTAGTCTTCAGTATGTTTTATGCATTGGTGCATTTGATTGTCCGTAGACAGGCTATTTTGGACTATTTAAGTTTTCAATGTGTTTTCCAACATTTTTAGTAAAACTTTAATAAATGCTAGGAGAATGACAGTTTTTCGACCTCTCTCTTTCTATTTCTGATTGTATTTTTAAATTTTACAGATGCATTTCTGCCCAAAGTTTGCGCTATAAACCGGGGAGAACATGTGATTCTCAACGACTACGCCGTCAAGGTGCCCGTGACAATCATAACCTTCTTCATTCCAAGCTTCCTCCTCGTAGTCATAAACTGTATCATAATTGTAAAAATTTTGCAGTTAAAACGACGTCGAAAACTGCTGTTCTCGCCTTCCTTCATGGCTTACGCAAAGACCTGTAAGGTAACCGGCAAGGTGGTAGCTGAGGGCAAGATGGAACTCAAACGCGTGTTCGCCTACCTCAATTTGGCTCTCATCGCCTTCATCTTCTCCCTTCCCCTCACTGTTACCCTCTGTATACGCTCCGGCCTGACCTTACGCGACAGCCTCTGCGAGCGTGAAACGATTGCCGAACTCAGTCGACTGTTTAGTTCTGTCAAGGACATCCAATACGCCATTCACGGTTACACGTACATTTTCTTCTTCGCCTTTTTCCGAAAGAAGTTTCTGCAAATTCTTTGCCTTGTATTTTGTTGTAAAAAAGTGCAAGATTGACTGGCTGTATCTGAAAGTATATTTTTACCTCAAGTCTTAACTTGTCAGTTTCTGTTATTGACTTAAGAAGGATTCGCGAACAGGTTAGAGCGTTTATTCACTCTTTGAATATGCAATTAAATAAGCCGGGACACGTGACTATTGGCCTTCCAGTACGTCGGGTGCCTTCGCGCTAAATTTCAGGGGCTTCTAATTCTCGTGTCCCAAAATAAGTCCCAACTCCAAAACTCTCCATCATGGCAACTCTCCGAACCCCAAATCAAACACCAACGCTAACACTACCTTTAACCATGATGTCCCGTTTCCCCTATTCTAACTTTAACTCTCTCTCTTTCTCCTTTGATTCCAAGCCCTTACCCTAACGCTGGCCCACAAAAACCATTCCCTAATCCTAACATTAATGCCGAAGACTGAAATTTTTCGTTCTGAGCCTATAGTTCTAGGATATGCTGATCAACTTCACGTTCGAAATTATTTTCTAAAAAATTTTAAAAACACAACAATTTCTTAATTGGAGTTTCTATCATAAAGTAAACAGGGAATGTTGGAGGACCCACCGACGAGTTGAATCCCTCGCAGCTGTGGGGGTGTAGGGGTGTCCAGCGGTGGGTTCACGTGAAGGTCGTAGTGGTCGCTCACTTGCTTGCAGGTGAGACTACGCCTAGCGTCCATTTGCTGGCACCCAACTCTCACCTGTGGCTCCACGTAGCTGGGCTCTGCTCA